TTTTAGTTTTGTGTTTCATTCATTGTTCAGAAGGTTTTTTGTTTTTTGTTTTTTTTAAGATTTTATTTATTTATTTGAGAGAGAGAGAATGAGAGACAGAGAGCATGAGAGGGAGGAGGGCCAGAGGGAGAAGCAGACTCCCTGCCGAGCAGGGAGCCCGACGCGGGACTCGATCCCGGACTCCAGGATCATGACCTGAGCCGAAGGCAGTCGCTTAACCAACTGAGCCACCCAGGCGCCCTGTTCAGAAGGTTTTTATTTTGGGGCGCCTGGGTGGCTCAGTTGGTTAAGCGACTGCCTTCGGCTCAGGTCATGATCCTGGAGTCCCGGGATCAAGTCCCGCGTCGGGCTCCCTGCTCGGCAGGGAGTCTGCTTCTCCCTCTGACCCTCCTCCCTCTCATGCTCTCTGTCTCTCATTCTCTCTGTCTCAAATATATAAATAAAAAAATAAATAAATAAAAATTAAAAAAAAAAAAAAGAAGGTTTTTATTTTGAGGGGCGCCTGGGTGGCTCAGTCGTTAAGCGTCTGCCTTCGGCTCGGGTCGTGATCCCAGGACCCTGGGATCAAGCCCCACATCGGGCTCCCTGCTCCGCGGGGAAGCCTGCTTCTCCCTCTCCTACTCCCCCTGCTTGTGTTCCCTCTCTCGCTGTGTCTCTCTCTCTGTCAAATAAATAAATAAAATCTTAAAAAAAAAAAAAGGTTTTTATTTTGATATATTTTGCTTATTTCCTTTGCCTTAGGAAACATGTAGAAAATGTTACTATAGCTGATGTCAAAGAGATCACTGCCTGTGTTCACTGATTTGGAGCTTTAGTTGCAAAATCCTTCATGGCAGTACCTGGCTTAGTGGTTGATTGAATAAACCAGGGGCTGAGAATCTTGGGCATATCTAAGATATCTGCCTACCATACCCTGAATCTGCACCTACACTTGACATTAAATAACTTTATAATCTTTGTCAGTCTGGTATATGTAATGAATTCTTCTTAAAATGCCTTATTTTCACTTGCATTTCTTTAGTTTGTAGTGAATTTGAGTGTTTCCTCATACATCTTAGGCATTCGAATTTTCCTTTTTTTTGTAAATCTCTTTTCATATCCCTTGTCCAGTTGGGGAGCAGTTTATTTTCTTTCTTGTTTTCTTGTCACGCGGTCCTTATATGTCCTGTCCATTAATCACTTGTCAATTTAGATGCTGAAAATATCTTAATTCTTTTTTTATGACTTTATTTTTTTATTATGTTAATCACCATACATTACATCATTAGTTTTTGATGTAGTGTTCCATGATTCATTGTTTGCGTATAACACCCAGTGCTCCATGCAGTACAAGCCCTCTTTAATACCCATCACCAGGCTAACCCATCCCCCGACCCCCTCCCCTCTAAAACCCTCAGTTTGTTTTTCAGAGTCCATAGTCTCTTATGGTTCTTCTCCCCCTCCGATTTCCCCCCCTTCATTTTTCCCCTCCTACTATCTTTTTTTTTAAACATACAATGTATTATTTGTTTCAGAGGTATAGGTCTGGGATTCAACGGTCTTACACAATTCACAGTGCTCACCATAGCACATACCCTCCCCAATATCTATCACCCAGCCACCCCATCCTTCCCACCCCCTACCATTCCAGCAACCCTCAGTTTGTTTCCTGAGATTAAGAATTCCTCAAATCAGTGAGATCATATGATACATGTCTTTCTCTGATTGACTGACTTCACTCAGCATAATACCCTCCAGCTCCATCCACGTCGTTGCAAATGGCAAGATTTCATTCCTTTTGATGGCTGCATAATATTCCATTGTATATATATGTACCACCTCTTCTTTATCCATTCATCTTTCGATGGACATTTTGGCTCTTTCCATAGTTTGGCTATTGTGGACATTGCTGCTATGAACATCGGCGTGCACGTACAATGGAATGTGGCTGGGTGATAGATATTGGGGAGGGTATGTGGTATGGTGAGCGCTGTGAATTGTGCAAAACTGTTGAATCCCAGACCTGTACCTCTGAAACAAATAATACATTATATGTTAAAAAAAAAAAAAAAAAAAGAAGATAGCAGGAAGGGAAAAATGAAGGAGGGGGAGTTGGAGGGGGAGACGAACCATGAGAGACTATGGACTCTGAGAAACAAACTGAGGGTTCTAGAGAGGAGGGGGTGGGAGGATGGGTTAGCCTGGTGATGGGTATTAAAGAGGGCTTGTACTGCATGGAGCACTGGGTGTTATACACAAAGAATGAGTCATGGAACACTACATCAAAAACTAATGATGTAATGTATGGTGATTAACATAACATAATAAAATTTTAAAACAGTGAAATTTAAAAAAAAAAAAAACCTTAGGCTATTTTCCACAGTTCCCACAGTTGATTCTGACAATTTTTACTCATTATTTTCAGTTTTTCTGTGGAGGGACAGTCCTTCAGAGCTACCTATCTCAGCATGTTTACCGACACCACTCTCAGCAATTACTTTTTATTTTTATTTTTTTAAAGATTTTATTCATTTATTTGAGAGAGAGAATGAGAGGGAGAGAGAGAGAGAGAGAGCACAAGAGGGGGGAGCGGGAGAGGGAGAAGCAGACTCCCTGCTGAGCAGGGAGCCTGATGCGGGACTCGATCCCAGGACTCCAGGATCATGACCTGAGCCGAAGGCAGTCACTCAACCAACTTGAGCCACCCAGGCGCCCTCAGCAATTACTTTTTAAAGTATTTCATAATGTCCCTTTAATATTCTGAAATAAAATGTATAGGTAATATAACTTAATTCATTTAGAAGTCTTAAAAAATCAATGTAATGCATAAATTGTAATATAAAGAAGTAAGAGGAAGTAATTTTTAAAATGTAGTAATTATTTTAGTATGTAAGTGTGTATGACATTGGAAGGCATGATGAAGTAGTGATAGTTTATACCTATTTAAATAAGTTGGATTTAACAGATGTAAGAGGGGGGCGCCTGGATGGCTCAGTCATTAAGCGTCTCCCTTGGGCTCAGGTCATGATCCCAGGGTCCTGGGATTGAGCCCCACATCAGGCTCCCTGCTCAGCAAGAAGCCTGCTTCTCCCTCTCCCACTCCCCCTGCTTGTGTTCCCTCTCTTGCTGTGTCTCTCTCTGTCAAAGAAATAAAATCTTAAAAAAAAAAGAAGATGTAAGAGGATCAGATTCCATTTTGTACAAATGCTAATAAATGAAAGACTACAATGTAGTCATAAAGACTAGACTTTAAATGCACAAGAAATGAAAGAAATCACTTTAGGAGAAGTCAAGATAGAACACCAATACAAATATAGACTAAAGAGGTGAAGGAAAGGAGAAAATATAATATTCTTATAAATGTGCTGGGCCTTATTTGAAACATAATTATTTAGTAAATAGTGAGCAACTACAGAGAACATATTTTTTTTTATTTTGGAAATCCAAATACAGGTCAAGGCAAATATTTTAGTCTTGTGTACTTGAGTCCTTGGAAACAGTATCCTTTCAGTGAATATGGGATTCAAAGATGGATTTTTAAAAAGCAGTGATAGGACATTTAGGACCAGTATCAAAGTAAGTTTGAAAAATAACAGGCAATTACAAAATAAATGAATGATTTCAATTTGTAATTTTTACACTAGATTTCTCATTCATAAACATATATGCCTGTATATGCTATACAATATTTTTAGAACCAATGGAATTAAATAAGATGACTTCATTTTATGTGTTTCTATAATTCACTATTTGATACTAAGTCTCTTAAAAGGAGTCTCATATTCTCTGTTATGTATTTAAAATTGGCTTTGTTGCTTTTATAGTAACAGCACTGTTACACTAAAATACTTTCAAATAAGTGCACAATTTGAAATACAAGAGTAGAGAAATTAACTTTCATCCAAAAAAGTGAGTATAATAGTCATACCTGGATCCAGAAGCTTTCTTAATTATACTATTTAAATTGTGTTTCTGGGGCACCTGGGTGGCTCAGAGTCTGTTAAGCGTCTGCCTTCGACTCGGGTATTGATTCCTCTTGCTCTGCCGCTCCCGCTGCTTATGCTCTCTTTCTCTGTCAAATAAATATATAATCTTTTTAAAAAAGTAAAGTAGATAAATTGCGTTTGACCTCCAAATAATTTTTTAGCTTGTTATAAGTGTTGGCTGGCCTGTTTCCTACCTGTTTCAGCTGGAATAATCACCTTATCTATATTGTAAGTTTATAAAAAATCTTTAAATTAATTGCTTCCCATATCTTTTAAACATAGAGTTCTGCTCTTCTGAGTTCTGGGGGAAGTTAAATTAATATATGTAAAAGTTTATAATGTACTTATAAAAATCTGCATTAAAAATATTAAAAATTTAATAACATGACAACACATGTTTTAGAGGCTATTCCCTTGAGAAAATCAAATTCAATCATAGGTCAGAATTTTTTTTTTTTTAAAGATTTATTTATTCATTTGAGAGAGCGAGAATGAGAGAGAGTACATGAGAGGGGGGAGGGTCAGAGGGGGAAGCAGGCTCCTCGCTGAGCAGGGAGCCCTATGCGGGACTCGATCCTGGGACTCCAGGATCATGACCTGAGCCGAAGGCAATTGCTTAACCAACTGAGCCACCCAGGCGCCCCATAGGTCAGAATTTTAAGAGATTAGTCTTCACATTTAAAAATTTTAATTCATAAAAAAATAAAAATAAAAATTTTAATTCATAATCTCTTTCCTTGGCTTGTCTCTCAATCAGAATCACTTTTTAGGGAGAACTATATCTTGTGACAAAAGTACTTTGTCCTTTGGTTGTATGTTTTGAAAATGCAGAGCAGATATCCTTGACCTTAGCACTTTCTAAGCAGGCATTTTCTCTTTTGGGAGTGTACTGAGAACTGCCTTTATTTTCATGAAAGTGACCTGTCCTCACATATATTTAATTGCATTGTGATTTTTAGTTGTGGCACGTATGTGGATGTGAAAGCAGAACAAAATATCTCATAGCTTTTTGTGGCTCATGTTTTTCATTTGCAGCCTTCAAGCAAAATTAAGGTGCCTGAGAAGAATTTCTTCAATGTTCCTGCTTTCTTAACTGTTTCGGGACAACTTCACCTAGAAGTGATGTCAGGGTACAGAATTTTCTTTTCTCTTTTGCCTTAATGGACTACTGATTGTGGATTGGGTGGGAGTGAAATAATGCTTTCTTTCCCAATGCTAAAACCTAAAAATTGAAATTAGTGTTTACAATTAGTCCACTTGAATTCACCAAGGTACATTTAGACTTGACAATAACCAAGTTTCTTCCTAAAATCACATTAGGCTAGACTTTTGGTTTTAGTGAAAAATGTAACACTGGAAAGATGAAGTTGTGATTTTTTTTCCTTTTTGCTAATCTCTTTTCTTTTTTCTTAAATCTCAAAATATGTAATCAGAATTTAAGTAAAATAATCATGTTTATGAAAGTAAAGGCAGTTATAGTTCATATCTGAACCAAGTATTAGCCCTTTGCATTTAAAAAAATAGGTACCTGGAACAGATGGAAGAAACACTTCTTTAAGTAATTGGTTTAAATAAAGAAAATTAACTCACAGAACCATCAGGAGTGACATGTAACAAATTAGAAAGTCTTAGAGGTCAGATCACATGGTCTTGAAAATAACATATACTTAGATTCTTTTCTGATTTATCTTGAGACAAAGTGTTATTTGATAATTCCAATAACAAGATAATTGACAATATTATCAGAATACTGTGCAAAAAACTTACCTGGGATAATAGCCCTGTGAGACTATAGGATTTGCAGAGCAGTGGGTGGAAAAGGTCATGTCAGTCATGTCATGGAAAGTTCCTTATGCCTTTCAAAGCATAATTTTAAGAAATTAAAATCATGACTCATACAAGTATGAAGTGAACATGTATCAAATATTTTATTCAATTCATTAATTACTAAGGGAGCAAGTAAAGTAGTAAGGCTAGTTCAGAGAGCATTTGAAGAGCTGTGTATTCATAGGCAATTTAATAAGGAAATTTTAGAATAAGACTGCTAGGTTAGGGGGAGGAGCAAGATGGCAGAGGAGTAGGCGACCTGAATTTCGTCTGGTCCCAGGAATTCAGCTAGATAGGGATCAAACCATTCTGAACACCTATGAACTCAACAGAAGATCAAAGAAAAGAATAGCAGCAACTCTCTGAACAGATAAGCGACCCCTTTCTAGAAGGTAGGATGTGCGGAGAAGTGAATCCAAGGCGATATTCGGGAAGATAGACGGCGGGGGAGGGGGCCTCCGTCAGCCGCTACTGGCAAGTGCTAGAGCCGCGGAGCACAAAATCGGAAATTTTAGAAGTTGGCTCCACTGAGGGATGTCGCTCCAGTGCTAAGCGGCGGGGGGGGTGGAACCCTCACGGGACAGTGTGGTCTCAGGACCCTCGGGGTCACAGAAAGACCGGGGGTGCCTGAGTGTGGCAGAGCTCCCAGGTAACGAAGCAGGGAAGCCGGCTGCAGAGGCGGAGCCCAGGCGCGGGCTCTCAGCTCGGGGTTGCCATAAACCATGATCCGCGGCACAGTCGGGCCACTGCTCTTCCAGCAGGGACCCAACAAGCGGAAGATCCAGGGAGACTCACCTTCCTTCCCCTGGGAGGAACGGCGCGGGAGCACACCGCAGGGATCTGCTGGGTTTGGAGACTCCACCCGGGGTCGGGTGCCAGAGATAGAGACACTCGGTCACAGGCCGGCTGAGCACGGGGTGCGGCCAGAGACCGGGGAGACGGGAGTGATTGACTGCTTTTCTCTGGGGGTGCACTGAGGAGAGGGGCCCCGAATTCTCAGCTCCTCCGGGTCGGAGATTGGGAGGCCGCCATTTTCACTCTCCGCCTCCAAAGTTGTACGGAAAGCTTGCAGGGAACAAAAGCTCCCGAGAGCAAACCCGAGCAGATTACTTAGCCCAGACAGGCAAGGGCGGGGCAATTCCACCTCCGGCAAAGACATTTGGGAACCACGGCAACAGGCCCCTGCCCCAGAAGATCAGCGAGAACAGCCAGCCAAGACCAAGTTTACCGATCAATGAGAATGGCAGAACTCCAGCACTAGAGGAATACTGCACATAGAATTCATGGCTTTTTTCCCCATGACTCTTTAGTCTTTCAAAGTTAATTTTTTTAATTTTCTTTTTTTCTTTTTTTTTTTTTGAATTTTTCTTTTCCCTTTTTCATCCAACATCTTATTAGTCCCTTTTTTAAAAAATCTTTTTTATTTTTCATTTTTAGAGTCATATTCTATCCCTTCATGGTAGTTAACCTTATTTTTGGTATATATATATAAGTTGTTCTCTCTTTAAAATTTTGGGTTACAGTTTCTTCTAACAGACCAAAATATACTCTAAATCTCTAGTGTATGGCTTTGTTCTAGTCTCCTGCCTGATCACATTCTCTCCTTTTTTTTTTTTAAATTCTCTTCTTTCTTTTTTCAACCAACTTCTTATCTTATCAATTCCTTTTATAAAATCTTTTATAATTTTCATCTTTACACTCATATTCCATCCCTTCATTGTATTTACCCTTATTTTTATACACATATAAGCTTTTCTTTCTTTAAAATTTTGGGAGGCACTTTCTTCTAACAGACCAAAATACTCCCCAAATCTAGTGTGTGGCACTGATCTGTGCACCAGCCTGATCATATTTGATGATACTCTGTTTTTTTGTTGTTGTTGTTTGTTGTTTGTTTTTTTTATCTTTTTCTTTTTTCTTTCTTTCCCTTTCTTTTCCCCAGGTTTCAGGTCTCTTCTGATTTGTTTATTGTATATTTTTCTGGGGTCGTTGTTACCCTGTTAGCATTTTGTTCTCTCATTCATCTAATCTCCTCTGGACAAAATGACAAGACGGAAAAAATCACCTCAAAAAAAAGAACAAGAGGCAGTACCGACTGCCATGGACCTAATCAATACAGACATTAGTAAAATGTCGGAAGTAGAGTTCAGAATGACGATTTTAAAGATACTAGCTGGGCTTGAAAAAAGCATGGAAGATATTAGAGAAACCCTTTCTAGAGAAATAAAAGAACTAAAATCTAACCAAATCAAAATCAAAAAGGCTATTAATGAGGTGTAATAAAAAATGGAGGCTCTAACTGCTAGGATAAATGAGGCAGAAGAGAGAATTAGTAATATAGAAGACCAAATGATGGAAAATAAAGAAGCTGAGAAAAAGAGAGATAAACAACAACTGGATCATGGGGGCAGAATTCGAGAGATAAGTGATACCATAAGTCGAAACAATATTAGAATAATTGGGATCCCAGAAGAAGAAGAAAGAGAGAGGGGGGCAGAAGGCATATTGGAGCAAATTATAGCAAAGAACTTCTGTAATTTGGGGAAGGAAACAGGCATCAAAATCCAGGAGGCACAGAGAAGCCCCCTCAAAATCAATAAAAATAGGTCAACACCCCAACATCTAATAGTAAAACTTACGAGTCTCAGATACAAAGAGAAAATCCTGAAAGCAGCTCAGGAGAAGAGATCTGTAACCTACAATGGTAGAAACATTAGATTGGCAATAGACCTATCCGCAGAGACCTGGCAGGCCAGAAAGGACTGGCATGATATCTTCAGAGCACTAAATGAGAAAAATATGCAGCCAAGAATACTATATCCAGCTAGGCTGTCATTGAAAATAAAAGGAGATAAAAAGCTTCCAGGAGAAACAAAAACTAAAGGAATTTGCAAACACGAAACCAGCCCTACAATATTGAAAGGGGAGAGAGAGAGCCTAAAAGTAACATAGACCAGAAAGGAACACACAATATACAGTAACAGTCACCTTACAGGCAATACAATGGCACTAAATTCCTATCTTTCAATAGTTACCCTGAATGTAAATGGGCTAAATGCCCCAATCAAAAGACACAGGCTATCAGATTGGATAAAAAAACAAGACCCATCAATATGCTGTCTGCAAGAGACTCATTTTAGACCCAAAGACACCCCCAGATTGAAAGTGAGGAGGTGGAAAACTGTTTACCATGCTAATGGACACCAAAAGAAAGCTGGGGTGGCAATCTTTATATCAGACAAATTAGATTTGAAACCAAAGACTATAATAAGAGATGAGGAAGGACACTATATCCTACTTAAAGGGTCTAGCCAACAAGAAGATAAGACAATTGTAAATATCTATGCCCCTAACATGGAAGCAGCCAATAATATAAGCCAATTAATAACAAAATTAAAGAAACACATCGACAACAATACAGTAATATTAGGGGACTTTAACACCCCCCTCACTGAAATGGACAGATCATCTAAGCAAATGATCAACAAGGAAATAAAGCCTTTAAATGACACACTGGACCAAATGGACTTCACAGATATATTCAGAACATCCCATCCCAAAGCAACAGAATACACATTCTTCTCTAGTGCCCATGGAACCTTCTCCAGAATAGATCACATCCTAGGTCACAAATCAGGTCTCAACCCGTGCCAAAAGATTGGGATCATTCCCTGCATATTTTCAGACCACAATGCTTCGAAACTAGAACTCAATCACAAGAGGAAAGTCGGAAAGAACTCAAAGAGCATCCTACTAAAGAATGAATGGGTCAACCAGGAAATTAAAGAAGAATTAGAAGAATTCATGGAAACCAATGAAAATGAAAACAAAACTGTTCAAAATCTTTGGGATGCAGCAAAGGCAGTCCTAAGAGGAAAGTATATAGCAATACAAGCCTTTGTCTCAAATACACAACCTAACCCTCCACCTAAAGGAGCTGGAGAAAGAACAGCAAATAAAGCCTAAACCCAGCAGGAGAAGAGAAATCATAAAGATCAGAGCAGAAATCAATGAAATAGAAACCAAAAGAACAGTAGAACAGATCAATGAACTAGGAGCTGGTTCTTTGAAAGAATTAACAGGATTGATAAACCCCTGGCCAAACTTACCAAAAAGAAAAGAGAAATGACCGAAATAAATAAAATCATGAATGAAAGAGGAGAGATCACAACCAACACCAAAGAAATACAAACAGTTACAAGAACATATTATGAGCAACTCTATGCCAGCAAATTAAATAATCTGGAAGAAATGGATGCATTCCTAGAGATGTATCAACTACCAGAACTGAACCAGGAAGATA